CCAGATTTTTTTCGCGGACCATCTGCAAAAAACGGCCTGAGCTTCAAGCAGACCTGCGCGCTGAAGCATATTCGGCTGCAAGACGATTCACGATTTCTGCTGCAGGCACGACCGAATCGATGCCGCCGATGCCCTGGCCCGCGCTCCACACATCGCGCCAGGCTTTGGCCTCCGTCCCATCGCCCCGTTTTCCGAAACCGAAAGACGAGGTCTCGCGCGCAGGCAGGGCATCAACGTCAACGCCCAGCGCAGCGAAACTCGCACGCAGGTAGTTGGCCGGCAGCCCGGTCACCGCGCTGGTGCACACGATGTCCGCCGCAGCACCGTCCACAATCATCTGCTGGTAACGCGAATCGGCCTGCGCCTCGGTCGACGCGACGAAACGCGTGCCCACATAGGCAAGATCCCCGCCCATGGCCTGTACGGCACGCACCTGCCTGCCATGCGAGATACAGCCTGACACGGCGACCAGGCCGTCAAAAATCCGCCTGACCTCATCGGTGAATGCAAAGGGGTTGAGGGTTCCGGTGTGGCCTCCCGCACCGGCACACACCAGCACCAGTCCGTCAACGCCCGCATCAATGGCCTTGCGCGCATGACGCATGGTTGATACGTCGTGCAGCACGATCCCGCCATATGCATGAATACGTTCGGCAACCTGCCCCGGCGCGTTGAGGCTGGTGATCACCACCGGCACCTTGTACTGACACACCACATCAAGGTCGTGCGCCAGCCGCTGGTTGCTGGGATGCACGATCAGATTCACGGCATAGGGCGCGGCACGCCAGGGCTGCTGCGGTTGTGCATTCCATGCCGCGATCTCGCGGTTCAGGTAGTCAAGCCACGAAGCCAGTTCGCTTTCAGGCCTTGCGTTGAGCGCAGGAAACGCGCCGACTATGCCCGCCAGGCATTGCTGGGCCACCAGTTCTTTCGACGAGGCGATGAACATGGGTGAGCCGATCACGGGAAGGCGCAGCGCCGTAAACGGCTCTGTTGTCATGGCCGACGAAGCGCTTAAGGGTTTGTACGGGGATTGACTCATGGCATGCAGGCGAATAAATTATGTTCCATACCGCCCAGTATGGCACACGACAAAATCACCGTCAACACAATGAACAGCGCCTCCGGATCATTCACCGCAGCCGACAGCTACGCCGCCATCAATCGGCGCCGCGTGAGCCTGGAAGCGCTCTGGCACAAAGGCTCATGTCTGGCCACTTTTTTCAGGGCCAGGGGCGTGAAAGAGGACCAGGCCGTCGCCATCCTGATGCGGAACG